TGTTTGAATGGCAGGTGGTGGTGGAGGGGTGCAAAAAACAGCTTACATTGATTGAACATTTAGATTACTAGTTCTTCCCCAAACCTTATCCTCAAGGCAAACTGACCTGCGTGTTTTCAGTTCAGCAAAACCCTGTTAATCAAATGTCAGTTAAAATCATGTGTTCTGAATTAGGGAAATGCCTAAAACTTGCAGGGCAGTGTGCCTGGTGGACAGGTGCTGAAAAACACTGGATTTGATGTTGGCATTTCAATCAATGGATGTTAATTGGCTAGAATTGAATGGTTGTTTGATGGTTGATCCAGCTTCTGTCATTGACCTGAACCATACATGCAGCCTTTGTGATCATAATTCAACATTAAATTAACATCGTAAGCTATCTGGGTAGTTCTTCCCCAAACCTTGACGTCAATCAAACTGACCTGCGTTTTTTCAGTTCAGCAAAACCCCGTTAATCTGACGTCAATATCATGTGTGTTGAATTAGGGAAATGCCTAAAACTTGTAGGGCCTGGAGGACCAGTGGTGAACCACACTGGATTCGACGTTGGCATTTCATTTATTTGATGTCAACCACAAAACAACATTGATTCAATGACACAGTTTCAACGTTAGTTAATTGGCTAGAATTGAATGGTTGTTTTATAGTTGATCCACCATCAGTTGTCGACCTCAACCAAACATGCAACCTTTGTGATGATAATTCAACATTGAATTAACATATTTTCCAGCAAGCCAACAGCGAAGTGGCTGTGTGTTTGGGCCATCCCACTCATGTAAATGGTGGGGGTAGACCGCTTCACTCCTTGTAGTAAGTTGTAGATGTTTTCGTGTCAATATATCACACACCATCAGTAGGAATTTTTATGAACAAGTAAAACAATTTACAGAAAGAAATCACCACCCACTATCCTCTATAGTATTAAAAATGTGATAACCCCCGCTCAGTAATAAAATGCTCTGACCCAGAGCACTGATGAGGATGAGAGGAGGGGAAGGGGTGCGGCAAAACAGCTGACATTGATTCAACATTGATCAGATGTTGATCAGACATCCGCATTAGATTTCAACGACAAAACAACATTGATTCAATGACACAGTTTCAACGGTTTGATTGTATGGTTGTTTGATGGTTGATCCACCATCATTTGTCGACTTCAACCAAAAATCAATGATTCTAACTATGATTCAATGTTGATTTAACGTTGTGTGCTATCTGGGAAGACAACCTGGACAGGTTGGGAGTTCATCATAGACACACACAAGGACAAATAACCACGCAAACACAATTAAAAAGAACAATAGCAGTCATATTTTTGGATCGAGAAATCAGGGGAAGACTTGCAAACTCCGTGCATCTTCATTGTTATCATCATCACTTATACAGAGGTCTCACACCAGCCACAGCGGAAACGAAGCAAAGTGCTGAACATCAACTATAAATAAGAAAACGGCAAAAAAAGACTAAACTAAACAGGATTATTTGAAATATAAATGTATCATCATTTTCTCAAGAGTATTTTTCATAAGTCCTATGCTCAACACGACAAACCTCCGAATTAAAAGAAAAAAAAAAAACGTAGTGCAGGACAGTACACTATTATAACACAATAACACAAAACAGAAAGTGGTGGAGACTTTAGTGCAGCTGCACAGACCAAACTAAGTCCATATGTTAGCCAAAAGGAAGCATGCAGCCTTAATCAAAAAGGCTATTCATCACACAGGTTATATCCGCCATAATGATGCGGAAAGATAAGGAGCTAATAAGGTAAATGAAAGGGAGAGTTACAACAATGCCGTAGTCAGAATGCTTCATGCACTGTTGCACTGGAGATGAATGACTCTCCTCCTGCAGTTCCTCTCGCTTTTCTTCCCTTTTTCCTCTGCCCAGTGCGGCA